CCACCACCAGCAGCACCACCACAACAACCACACCCACAACCACCACCACAACAACCACCACCACAACCACCACCACAACCATCGCCATCATCACAACCATCACCGTCGCCACAACCATCACCACCGCCACAATCAGCACAACCACAACCACAACAACAACCACAACCACCACCACCGCCACAACCACAACACCACAACACCACAACACCACAACCACCACAACCACCACAACCACCACAACCATCACAACCATCACCATCCCCACAACCACCACCACCACCACAACCACCACCACAACCGCCACCAGCAGCAGCAGCAGCAGTAGCAGCAGCACCAGCACCACCACAATGACGATGACGACGATGACAACAACTGCATTTCTTCATAGACAATGATAGTCTCCAGTCAGATCCACGAAAATTTTCATGGCTGAATCAGGCTGATCCTTCCGACTCTTGTAAGGTGTTGATATGCTCCTCTCTGGCAAGCAACCCAAAACAAATTATGGCTAGAAAGTTGTCTACTCCCTCTAACTATGTGCAATCAGGTCATGGGAATCTTGTCCTTTTTCTGTTTTTTTTCCCCAACTTTTTTTGCAACAGAATCTGTAAGATTCACCTTCAGATTGCTTATTCTTTACGGCTCTGTGTGATCTTGTCAATGCGTCATAAAAATGAAGTAAAATGAAACGAATTTCCAGGTCTTCGCCATGACTGCCGTAAGACTCATGGTCCAGGTTAGTTGTCCTTTTGCCTTTGTGCCATAGTTATGTCACTTGAACGCTACCTGTTCTTTTCTGAAATCAAGTCTTCTGAAGCCGGTCACTACCGTGATTCCTCTTCCCCTCCCCCCCCTCACCCTTCTTTTTGACTCTGAGTCCAAGAGAGATACAGCCCGTTTAGTACTGAATTTCTGCAAGAACGAAACTAGACCGGTGATAATACACCCCAAGAATTGAGCACTCGCCCACTGGATACGATGATGCACTTAGACATTTTTCTCATCCAGGTGCATTCTGACCGCTGTAAGAGATAGTGAGTCCATTCCATTTTAGGGAGCATGCAGCTTTCGGTGCATTTTGACTGCTCTAGGAGACAAAGGCTTAATTTATTTTCGTGAGCGTGCAGGTTGTAGTTGGGAGGAAATTAAATTCACAGACCTCAGGATTGCAATTGCCATAATTAAGGATCGTGAGCCCTTCCTTGTTCCAGACAAACTTCGCTTCCATGGGAGAGGATTTGCCTCTGTACGTCGGGCTCGATGCATGCGTATCAGGGTCCTTCGCATCCAGCAACTCTGCATCCCTGCAACCTGTGCCATCTGGTTCTTCCCTCTGCCCCTCCTGTTCAGGAAAACTGCAGTGCCCATGCTCTTCGACACGTGAAGCTGTGTTGTCATCATTCACCAAATCTATGTTCTTGCCATCCCCTCTGTCACTTGTCGCCTTCGACGTACCGATGGAACAAGTCCTCTTGTCCAACCCTGTACCGTCCTTTGCATCACCCTCGTCTTCCCCAAAGCCCTTGCTTCTCTCGAGCTGCTGCCGCTCCTGTTCACCATCTAAACTGCCTTCACCTGGATAGTTGTGGTCAATCCACTGCCAAGACTGCACAATAACAAAAGCACCAACCCATCATGTATCCAACACACACACACACACACACACACACACACACACACACACACACACACACACACACACACATGCATACAGGGATAGGGATATACGAGAGGAAGGAGCGGGTAGTCAGAAGAAGGACGGCTAATCCTACAAGGGCTGAAGGGACTCGCG